TCGACTGCTTTGAGGAGGTGATGGTCAATCACGTGCAGCTCAGTGCCCGGCAGCGTGCCTTCCTGGAGAGCCTGTGGGAATGTCGCGTGTACGATCGCTTCAACACCGTGCTGCACATCTTCAAGAACTTTGCCAGCACGCCGGCCGCTAAACTGCAGGTAAGTTAGCCGAGTAGCCGAGTAGCCGTGTATGTCATGGCCAAGTAGCCGTGTATGTCGTGGCCGAGTAGCCGAGTAGCCATGTATGTCATGGCCGAGTAGCCGTGTACTGTACGTCATACCTCCCCGTTATGTGTGTTCAGCTGTTCTGACTGCTGGTGCCGTGGCTGCTGATGTTGCTGCTGATGTTGCTGCTGATGGTGGTGTGTGTGCGGCTGCTGCTGCTGGCTTCGTTAATTCTCTCTGAGAATGCGACAATGTTATATTTCCTGCTGCTGCTGCTGGTGGTGGTGGTGGTAGTAGTGGTGGTGGTGGTGCTGCTGCTGCTGCTACTGCTGCTGCTGCAGCTGCTGCTGGTGGTGGTGGTGCTGCTGCTGGTGCTGGAGCTGCTTGTGCTGCTGCCACTGCAGCAGCAACGGCTTGATTAATTCTCTCTGAGAATGCAATTACTGTATATTTCATGCTACACTGAAATTGATCAGGAAGCCATTCCGGACTGTACTTTACCCCGAGCGTGCCTTGTTTCTGTCGCTGCATACGCTCACACGCGCAGATCCGTCTAGCAGAGCTCGAGAACGAGCAACGCCTGATGAAGCAAACGGAGGACAAGAACAAACTGCACCACTCTGAGCTAACGCCGGGCTACTACAGCAATTCTGATGGCGATCATGACCTGAGGAGTCAGAAGCGCAAGGACCACATGGACAACATGATCAAGCAAGTCAACAAGAAGCTAGACAGGTCCAAGGTGTGTGTGTGGTGGGGGGGGGGGGGGGGTGCGTCTGTGTGTGTGTGTGTGTGTGTGCGTGCGTACATGGTGTGTACATGGTGTGTGTGTGTGTGTGTGTGTGTGTGTGTGTGTGTGTGTGTACGTATGGACTAACTAAAGGATTGTTTGACGGTAAAATGCCTCTGCTTCTTGCACAGCGTGTTTTAAAGACAAATCCATGTGAGCCGTTGATTGCCATGTGAGCATACACAATGTCCAGTGGAATTCTGCTCTACTCCAAGTCTCCTGCTCTACACGATCATCAGGAGACTGAGTACCATGTGGGCTGTAGAGTATTAGGTGGTTTACAGCGATGCACAAACCCTCACTGATCTAGTCATGTGCTGTACAATCCTGCTTAACTGACTTGAACTTCAGCATTTACCAGGCACAAAATTGCGATTCACCACCTGATTTGGCTTCTGTGTCGCGGATGCTCCTCATTCTGTCCGTGTATCCGATAACGATAATTACGCTGACTTCCCTTGGCTGGTTGTCTGCAGGTGCATCGCGAGATCGCGCGGGAAAGTCGTCGTCGGAAGGAGGTACCGCTGGTCGCCCTTGTCGGCTACACGAATGCGGGCAAGACAAGTCTGGTGAAGGCGCTGTGTGGCAGCAATGTGGAAGGAGAGAGCAGGGTGTTTGCCACGCTGGACTCGACTGTGCACAGGCTGCGTTTGCCATCCGGACTCGAGGTAAGGTTTCTCTGCTGATGTGTGCTGATCGGGTCCTGTGAGCACGCCCTGTTTGTTGTATATTGCCATGAACACTGCAGTATTGTCACGGGCTGTCATCGAACATCGCACCGCAGCCGTGTTCTCTGCCTCTGCGTGGCTCGCAGCTGAGTACTAGATGCCACGCGTGCTGCTGTTCAACGAAATTCGGCTTCGCATGTTTGCTAGCGTCACATACGGCGCAGTGCAGACCCATCGTTGGAACCTCTGGGTTGTGCAATACTAATAGGGGCAGTGTGGTGACATCCTCATCATGGGCCTGTATTGACTGAGCACATTTATAAGTAGACTACTGCACTCAATTGCCAGTTTTCATGGGCACACTGTGTTGGAGCTCGGAGCAGGTGTAATTACAATGTACGATACTCGGCTCTCTGGAGTGTTCTCTGGGCCTGTAGACATTCCATTGCAACATATGTAGCATCTCTAATGGAGAAATCTCTCTCTTTTTCTATTTCTCTCTCTTTTTCTCCCTCTTTTTCTCCCTCTTTTTCTTTCTCTCTCTCTCCAACCCTATCTCCGTCTTCATTTTCCTCTTGTGTGTCTTCTTTCGTTCTGGGTCAGGTTGTTGTCAGTGACACTATCGGCTTCATTAGTGAGCTGCCGCCTACGCTCATGGCTACGTTTGAGTCCACTCTGGCTGATTCCTTGGAAGCGGTGAGTACCCTGTGGGGGTGAATTTGTCAAAATCCCCAAGGAATCGACGGTATTTGTTCGCAATAATGGCAGTTCTTCTGATCTAAGTCAAAAGAGTTTTAATACTGGAATTGGTGTGTGTGTGTCTTTTTTTGCGTGTGCGTGTGTGTGTTCATGCGCAGGATGTGGTTCTGCACATTCGTGACGCCACACATCCTAACACGGAGGGCCAGCGAGTCAACGTGATGCGTACGCTACTGGACATTGGCTTCAGCGATGATCGCGTCGAGGACATGGTGGAAGTGAACAACAAGATCGACTTGGCGGGTGATTTGTAAGTAATGCGTACATGCCGGGTTTCTCTGACCATAGCGTGTTTGTTGTGCATCCCTTTGCACAATGACGTAATTTGCGCCCGCAATGCTTTACACAGCCACCTGGGCATGATTTTGTGGGGTGTTGAACAGTGCATTGCTGATCCCAGCGTACTCGCATGCATTGCTCATGCAATCCATATTTGGCAATGTGCAATGGGCTTACTGCTCAATCTCTGGACGGGTGGCTGTTTCAATCTTCTTAGATCTCATCAGCGGAAGTCAGACTTCAGTCAGAGCCGATCGTAATGAAGTCTAATGAACAAAAAGCATATCTTTAAACTGGCTTAAAGCATCAAAGTCAGAATGCTCTAACTGCGATGAATACAACAAGCTTTGTGTTGTGATTCTAGATGTGGCCACAGCAATGAACAGTTTATTTGCATTGAGCATGCGCTTATTATGATACAGATGAGAGAGAGAGAGAAAAAAAGAGAAAGAGAGAGAGAGAGAGAGAGAGAGAGAGAGAGAGAGAGAGAGAGAGAGAGAGAGAGAGAGAGAGAGAGAGAGAGTGCAGAGAGAGACAATGCTGCGTCAATCACTATGCACAACGGTCCTGGGCTCTGCCTTGCCATCCCCGGCACTGTTCTTCCTGCTCAGGTCCGAGTGGCAGCAGAGTCTGCTGCCGGGACAGTTTACCCATGACTTACCTGAGGTGAAGAGCAGCGTGGAAGTGTCGGCCAAGACCGGCCAGGGCATGGAGGAACTCAAGAAGATCATCGAGGAGAAGATGCTGGAGAGCTCCAAGCGCCACTGTCTGCAGCTCACCATACCCAGTACTGGCAAGGAGTTGAGGTGAGCTGTCAATGTGTCCACTGTGCGCGTGTGTGTGTGTGTGGGGGGGGGGGGGGGTGCTGCATTTAAAAAAAGAAGTGCATCTCTTGAATAGTGCCCTGTCTGTGATGGGCTTTGGGAAAATAGTGCTGGCGAGGGGGGGGGGGGGGGGCACTAACTGCTTGAGGCTGATACCTATGTACACTGGTTTCATTTTGAAAGAGTGATTGGATGTATGTCAGATCACCACCGGGTTTTCCCCGCGAAGCCGTGTTGGCCGCAGCCACTCATCGTTCTGTTTGCAAGACTGCCAGCCCCCCCCCCCCCCCCCCCCCGCAGGAGTGCAAGACTTTGACAGAGCACTCTTTTAGGAATTCTCCTAACGTCGCTCGTTGCCATGTCTTGCTTTTCCTCAGCTGGCTGCACAAGAATGCTGGCGTGTCATCGACGGTGTGTTCAGATGATGGTAGCGAGTTGATTGTGGACGTTGTGTTGACATCGGCGAAGCTCGGCAAGTTCAGCGCTGAATTCCCGCACATCAAGGTTGATCAAGATTTGCTTCCTGTGATGGAGGACTGCGGTGTGTCAACGCGCTTTTCTTAGCCGCGTCGGCTGTGTTGATGTAAGTATGATTGCTCTAGTAGTCCTTCCATTCTTGCTGCATCCGTGCTGCCTTGAGAGTGACAGTGACAACACACACGTGCCAATGTGGACATTTGGGGGTGCTGTAACAACGCGAGACAACATGGAGGTGCATGTTGTCATTGGCAGCCCATTTGTGTACCGGGCGAATGTTCTATTCGCTGCGATGCCATCTGTGTGTGTGTGTGTGTGTGTGTGTGTGTGTGTGTGTGTGTGTGTGTGTGTGTGTGTGTGTGTATATATGTGCATATGCATATCTGGCGGCCTATGTATTTCCGTGTACTCTCTCATATATCTAGATCCACCCCTTGCAACTGATTGATTTTTATCGCTTGAACTTTGTGCATGTTAACGCCTGCTAGGATGCAATCATCCCAAGATAATGCTGGGTAACGTACTATTGTTCCTGTTGTTGTTGTTGTTGTTGTTGTTGTTGTTGTTGTTGTTGTTGTTGTTGTTGTTGTTGTTGTTGTTGTTGTTGTTGTTGTTGTTGTTGTTGTTGTTGTTGTTGTTGTTGTTCTTGTCAATGATGCTGATGATGACGCTGTCCTACGCGAGTTGATTTCCTCGGCTGTTTATTATTATTATTATTAGTAGTACTGGTGCTAATGCAACAGTCACTGAGTGTAGATAAGAGTTTCACTTGATTCTGTGCTGGTCATGGCACTAGTGGCTCGCCTTTCTTATAAGAATATTATGTGCATGTATACATTAGTACATGCACTGCCCTTAGAGGACATTCACAGAGGACATATGGCTGGAAATTCATTTTTGATCTGCTTTGATTTTTAACTTCATTTCTAGCATAATATTATTCAGTATTGACAGTAAACCTGGAGTCTGCAATGTCTTTCAACTGAGAAAAACTTGATCGCGTTACGCCGCAGTGATGTGTCTCCCTGGCTGGCTGTTTACTGTTTACTGTCTGGTGCATGGGCATGAGTATATGAGTGTATTATGTTGACCTTTGATAAATACCCACACTCATTAGTGACCACACCATCAACAGTATCAGTTTCGTGCCCTGTTATCGCACTTTCTGACTGCTTATTATCTTGTTACACTCATTTCAGAGAAACAGTGGATCAACGGTGACCAGGTGACTTTGGCACGCAGGAGCGTGTGACCGCTTGTTCAATCATGTTCGATTGGGAATAAAGGAGTAAAGGAATAAAGGAGGAACGCTGCATCGCAGCATTCTCGGACCAAAACCAGTGGACTCAGCGTCCAAAAGACTACAACATATGGGCCAATCGCGGTCATCCGTGCTTTTATAAGAACAAAATGGCGCTTTTAGTGACATTTTGCATACAAATCCCCATCTAGTAGGGCGCAGTCACCCAGGTGGAAGTGCGTAAGTTCGATTGGGAATAAAGGAGGAATGGAGCGTCTCAGCTTCCTCGGACCAAGACCATTCGACTCAGCATTCCGAAGACTACAACTGGTGAAAAATTGATTTTAGACTTAACTTCCCCTTTAAAGGGGAAGTTAAAGCAAAAATCAAAATTTCACCAGTTGTAGTCTTCGGGGTGCTGAGTCGAATGGTCTTGGTCCGAGAAAGCTGAGACGCTCCCTTCCAACTTGAATCCCAATCGAACTCGCGCACTTCCACCGAAACTGGGTGACTGCGCCCTACTACAAATATACATGTAGATGGGGATTTGTATGCAAATGTCACTAAAATGTCACGTGCTCCTGGGTGCCCAAATCACCTGGTCCACGCCAGCAGGCGACAACTTTCACACCAAGGTTCAACTCGAGTGACCACCAGCCTTTTCGGACCAAAACCAGTCGACTCAGCGTCCAAAAGACTACAACAGATGGGCCAATCGCGGTCATCCGTGCTTTTATAAGAACGAAGTGGCGCTTTTAGTGACATTTTGCATACAAATCCCCATCTCGTATGGCGCAGTCACCCAGTTTCGGTGGAAGTGCGCAAGTTCGATTGGGATTAAAGTAGGAAGGGAGCGTCTCAGTTTCCTCGGACCACGATCGTACGACCATTCGACTCAGCACCCGGAAGACTACAACTGGTGAAATTTTGATTTATGCCTATCTTCCCCTTTAATGATGGAGGATGCGTGCAGCAGGCTAATTGCATGCACTGTCTAAGCTGCAGTTCACAGCAAGAAGGGGTAAAGAGTTTTACTGTCCTGTGTCTCTGCACTTCTGCTGTTTCCGCTCCTTTTTAATTTTTATTTCTTTAGTTGTTTTCAATGTTTTGGCATCATTGCAGGCACAAGAACTCTCTCCTTTCAAGTAACGTAGTTGCTATGTTGGCAACTTTTGAGCTTTTTTCTGAAAATATGGATGCAATTTCAGCAACTTCCACTTGTTTTGGCACGGTTGCGAAAAACATAAGTTGCGAAAAATTATGGCATCTTTAGGAAAGGGCTAGCCTTGACATTGTATCTACTCCTGCTCCTACCTGCATACTGTGCGTGCAAAGCTTTCCCGGCTGTGATGACATTGTATCGTCGAAATACTTTCGGAATTGTCAATTTGTATGTTGCTCCCTACGTGGGAGCTTGCGTTATTCCTGTCGACTTGAATTCTCACTTGACTGACTCACGACTGCCAACCAGAGCACACGAGAAGTCCATCGAACCTTCCACTCGGCAAACCCGCAAGAAAGCACCACTGCCTGCTCAATACACAGTGTTTCGGGGAATTCATCCCTCATCAGTTGAGCTTGAGTAGGCTGAGGAAGATTGTGCCCGAAGAGCACCACTTATAATTATAGTTCTCTCCAGGCACAAACATCACCAGGGATACAAACTTACAGAGACGCTCTGTTTCCAGCTCGACAAACACCTCGTGAACACCAGATAGCAGCGTGAGTCAGTGTCGCTCGTGGAGGTGCTGAACAAACGCTGAGGGCCATTGGCCATTCACAAATACTTTCGAAATAGTACCGTAAATAAAAAGCGAACGTCTACATACCGATACCATTGTACTTCGACCAATCTCCCTTGCAGAGTTGTGGCCACATGACCAGGATATTCGGTACAGCAGCTAGTGACCTGGTGACCCCCGTGCTTTTAACTTCGTTACTCGGTCATCTCTCCGGAATAGGGACTGGTGGATAATGCCGGCAGAAAATTCGGCAGAAACGGCATCACAGACAAGAGAGCAGGACCGACGCTTGAAAAAGCAGAATATCCCCGAGTCCTAAGACTCCTAACTTCAAGGTTGTCCCTTGCTCTCAGCAATCCTGGGTGCTTTTTTAGCACTGCCGTTCAAGCACTTGTATTGCTTGTGCTTGGCGCGGGGAGTCGTAAATGTATAATACGGAGGATTAGCAAGACGAAATTCGCGTTCGCGTTCGCTCTCCAAAGAAAGTCGAACTCAGTGACGGAATTCGCGTTATGAGAAGGATTAGCAAACAGAATTCGCACATGCATGATGTTGACACGACGCAGGCAGTACAGCGTGGTAAATTTATGACTGCCCTGACACGAATCCACGATTCGTGTTCCGACTACTTTTCCGAACGAAAAATGCGAAAGTTCGCAATCCAGTTCGCGAACTGAAAAATGTTTGCGAACGCGAACGCGAATTTCGTCTTGCTAATCCTCCGTAATGTATAGCCGAGACGTCTAGACCCAGCTTTACATCATCCAGTCCGCAAGCCACAGTACAAGTGGCAGGCGCTGGCGCTTGACTTTGTGCTGTACTTCAGTACAGAATAAGAAGTCAAAGACAAATGCAATGTCTGTTTCAGCGCTCACGCGATGTACCACGCATTGAAGATGGCGGTTCCTCGATCTATTTTATTAAAATTTATTTAATAAAGTTGCCTATCATAAATTTTTTATGATATGCAACCGGATGATCACTTTTTGAGCAGAAAAATCAGCAGAACCCCATGTCTTCGAGCAGTGAGCAGACTGAAAAGCTTCTTCTGCGGAGCATTATCCGCCAGTCCTTACTCCAGAAGAACCCCCCCCCCCCCCCCGGATTCATCACCATGGGAGCGACACGTGACTAGGCATCGGCGGCTAATGCTAGCATTATAAGTAGCATTATAAGCTTGTTTTAGTAAACTAGCACTGCCGAGCATTTTACTTTAAAAAGTGGCATTATCGCAGCAAACTGGCATTATGGGTAGGCATATGCGGATAATGCCGGCAGAAAAATTGGCAGAATTCGGTACTTTTTCTGGTACGTTTCATGCATGTTTGGTATGTGGATAAAGAAATGGAGCAGAATTCGAGGAATTGCCCGCCATAAGGTTTGTATGGTTCTGCCAATTTCACTGCTTTTCGAACAGAATCTGCCAATGCCTAAAATTTATGGGTGCGTTTGATGCCAACTACTGAACTACGTGTAGCACACAAGCGAAAAGTGGTCACACGCGCAGTCCGCAGCCATCTGAGGCGTGGTGTCTCCATCGTCATCTGAATCATGGTCCCCATCTAATCCCAGCTAGCTAGCTACATTGTATATCCAGCACTCCTACACTCTACTTCGCCGCTCCCGCTAAATCATGGACACTAGAACTAAAGTGGAAGGAAGATCGACTAAGGTGACTAATAAGTAATATCACTTTTTCTCAAAATAACCATACATGTACATGTATGTGCGGTGAAGCTTACGGTTCCGGACTAGTACTTAATATGGATGATTGCGGAGGTAGTTCTGATGGCGACAATTCATATGAAATGGTTGAAAATGTGTCAGAGTCAGAACAGTCGGATGAAACTGAACCAGAACATTTGCAAAAATCGAAAGGAGCTTGAATATTGCGCTCAAGATCATTTGAGCGGACCTGAAAGCCAACGCAAACCAGGACAAGCGTGAGTCAAGGACAATCTACGAAGGTTGTGCGTATCAGCCCTGCCGCTAGAGTTACGGAGTTGTTGTTGTTGTAGAAGTTTATTTAACGTCGCACCACAAACAGGTGGTTTCGGCTCCTTTGATACATGTGGACGGCGGAGGGAATGAGAGAGAGGGGGAGAGAGGGGGGGGGCAGAAATACGGAGAGAGGGTTCCCTCAAGTGTTTCTGACTATCTCTACTGGAGAGTTGTTTTGTGAAGTTTTGTGAAGTTTATCAGTTTTTTGCCAAAAAGGCAAAACGCCTTTTGAAATGCTTCGGAGCGACATTGCCGCAGTAAGCAGCAGAAGGTGAAAGCTAAGATCCATCAATCGACTTGATCAGTCTGATGGACGCAGCAGAGGGATTCTGAACATAATTATATAGACGGTAGAAGCCTCACAAAGCCGCTTACAAGTTTGCTGCAGCTGATGTTTACAATAGTATTGATCAACTAGCACGGTGGAAAGATCGAGATGACCTCAATTGGCAGAAGGCTGTGAAGATCATGCTCACCATCCCACCCTCATCTGCAGCGCCTGAATGAGTATTCTTCTTCTGGAGTCGGCAATGTCATACCAGCTTTACAACTGAGGTCCATACTGCACAGCGAGAGGCAGAACACAATGTCAGTACTCGTAGTCTTGATTTTGTTTACCCCAACACATGTGCATTCACACTTTTACAGTCATTCAAGAGATATTGTAACGCCGAAATGAATGTATGCAAGTACTTTTATATTTGTCTGACTGTCATGTGCTGCAGCTGAATTTGAATTTATGACGTTCTTTACGATCCCTTTTACCCACAATTCTCACTTCGGTTACGAGCATTTGCTGAAATAACGAACAGCGCCGAAAGCATTATTAGTAAAATAAAGGAGCATTAGCCGCCGATGCCTACACGTGACTTTGTTTTCCATGTGTCACGTTCACCGGTGGCAAAGGGGGTTTGTTTTGCTCACTTTACCTACCACTGACAGAAACAGTGAACAAGGAAGCGAGTTTCACGATCATGGTGAATGGGTGTGAAACGCAACGCGCGTGAAACCCCGAATTGCAACACAGCTGCCCCCCCCCCCTTCCCCCACCACACACACCTCTCTCTCTCTCTCTCCCTGCAGCGCTAGATGGAAAGCTCTGCCTTTCAAGGCAAATGATGTACCACGGCGGGTATTCATCGAGCGGTGGAGCACATAGTCCCTACTTGAACACATACCGGGTTAGTGTATTCATTGACCAATAGGGCGCATTACCCCGGTACTGTTGGCATATCTTAACCAGTGAACAAGCATTGTAATGTGACACACTTGATTTGCGGAAGGCTACAGAACTGCGACTGTTCACACTCGCGCCGGCGAACGTAACAGTTTCGTCCCCAGGAATAGATCCCTACTCAACACGAACTATTCGTGTGAACAAGGCAGAAGTGATAGTTAGCGTGCGTGTCAGAACCATCTCCCGGCCCAAGCAAACCCCATCTTTGCTCGCCGCTGACGGGCAAGTACATGTCGCTATTGCAAGGTCGCTCAACTGAAAGAGCACTGGAGCTTTTGCTGTCTCGTCTGCTTATAAAAACGAGACATGCGTCGGGATTTCGCGAGCCAGGATCAGGACAACTTTGTCGGCGTTCGGTCTGCGTTTTATTCCACCAAACTGGGTGGCTGAGTCTAAAGTCGGACGTCATCTTTGTCCTGCGTTTAAAGGCTTGGATTTGCCTACTTCAGTGCCATTGTCTGGTGTGTCAGTGGGAGAAAAAAGGTGAGGAATGATGGTACCCAGGCACCGCACAGCAAGCGTGGGATGTATGATTGTGCTGGCCGTAGCGATGAGCCTAGTGGGGCCTTGCTCCGGGCGGCCAGCAGCTCGCCCTGCAGAATACCTGCGCATAAAATTTAATGACGTTGGCGATGGCAGTGTTGGAAATGGCCACGTTGTCGACAGCGTCGCTACTAGGCGCATTCGAAGTTCAAGTGACTCCAACTCAGACACCCTGGAGGACAGTAGCGACAGCGCCGAGAGCGACAGCGATAGCACGGGGGAACCCGTGTCCGAGCTGGAAGCGCAGAGACTCCACACAGAGCAGTTGATGATCGCTGCCGTCAAGGTGGCTGTGGCAGACCTGGCCGCTGTTGTACCCAATACTCGCGCTCTTCTCAATCAGGTTAACAGACCGAGTGCAACATCAATAGGTTCTCTGGTAGGATACTTAGGTGTATCTTCTGCAGCTGCTCGTCCTCGACCTCAGGTAGCACGAATCCCTGGTCCCAGTGGAGGCATTCGCCTGCAGTCCCAAGATTTCAACTTCACCGTCGATCTCATACCTTCGGATGACATGTCCCTTCACTCAGCTGTTCCATCACCGGGGATGACCGCCAGTCCTCCGGCAATTGAATTCCGCAACTTATACGTACGGCACATTCCACGCGAGCTTCCAACGCTGATGGATGGCTCGGTGTATATCGACTTCACCGTGGATGCACTTGGCCTGGTTCAAAAAGTGCCCAGACGCAAACTGCAGCCGAACCAGCAGGATTCAGTGTCGATGCTCCGCACACTCTCTCAAATGAAGGCCCTAGTGGAGAAGGGTTCCATTAATTAAGCAAGGCTACAAGAGTTCATTCAACCTCTTTCCAGTGCAAGCTGCCGTATTCTGTCGGACTGGAGAGGTTCATTTCTGTTTCCTACTTGAGGATCACTCAGTACTACTCCAGGATTCTGACCATGGACATGGTCCATTACTACATTAGTTAAAATTTTGTACATGATTGTATTCCCAACAACACACACACACGCGCGTGCACGCACGCATACATGTACACAATGTCATGTTCATAATGTAATACAGTAGAACGCATTCTTGCAATTTTGTCTACTGCATGGCTGATAATTACTAGTACACCCACTTTCAGGATGCGCTAAGGCGTGCTGTTACATCTGTGATAGCAGTTCCATCTGGTGCATCAGTATCAGTATTAAATTTTATGTGTGTGTGTGTGGGGGGGGGGGGGGGAGGGGGATCTCCGAGCGGCTAGCTTGTTCGAACTTCTTTGGCTACATCGTTAATAGCGCGAAGCATCAAGTCAGATTATTAATTTTTAGCCAGGAACCTACCCAGCATTCCACGAAGACAGATCACTTTGTGGCATAGCAGAAATAGTGCTGAGACTGTGGCAGACGCCAAGAGAAGGCTAGGGGGCGTATTACTCTACATCTTGACGGCATGATATGCATGTACAGTACAGTCGTGACGAAAGCAATCCGACCCGCGAGCCGAAAGCAGCATCAAGGCTCATGGAGTCATGCGCCCCTAGGCCCTGCGGCTCTCGCACGGGTTTTTGGACCTACCATGGTGATAATTATTTGAAATGGAAAAAGCGGCGTTGCTGTCGACTCGCGGGTCGGATTTCTTTGGCCACGACTGTACTAGTACATGACATACTTTACAGCGAAGCCTCGTCGTTACGAAAAACAAACTCTCCCTGTCTCTCACTCCGTCTCTGTCTCTGTCTCTCTCTCTGTCTCTCTCTCTCTCTGTCTCTCTCTCTGTCTCTCTCTGTCTCTCTCTCTCTCCCTCTCTGTCTCTGTCTCTCTCTCTGTCTCTCTCTCTGTCTCTCTCTGTCTCTGTCTCTCTCTCTCTCTGTCTCTCTCTGTCTCTCTCTGTCTGTCTATCTCTCTCTCTTAGGCCTCGGCGGGTAATGCTAGCATTGTAACTGGCATTACGAGCATCGTTTTGAGAACTAGCAATGCTCCAGCATTGTACCCGGATTTGGAGCCAAAACAAGCATTAGCGCCCAAAAGTGTCATTTTCTCACTTCATGAGTGTGCATTAGGCCACCCTTTCTTTTTTCGTTGTTTAACGTCCGCGCCCGCGTACCTTTTTGCCTCCGACCGGAAAAAAAACAAGAAAGTAGTAGTAAATATGCGAAGTTGTAAATACATGATTGTGTAGTTTCACAGTGTACGTGTGCCGATCATGACCTTAAACTTATAATCTTGTCTCCCGGGCATGCCTTTGTCTTGTGTTCTTTTTCTTTTTTTTGTTGGCTTTTAAATATCGTACGCGTATACGGTGTGTGTCCTAGTAAAAATCCAGATGTAATGAATTCATGACATGCTAACTCCATGCTATGTACCTGTTTTGTTGGATTCATCAGGCATGTGCTCCAATGTACCATCAAAGAGTGTTGTTCTATGCCTGCAAGTGCCGTTAGACCCAGAAATATTGTATATATCACATGCTTTCTTGCTGTTGTCGTGTGTGTCCCTCACGCGGACGTGCGACTAGTTGTTGGAGGTGACAGCGTTGTGAATAGCTATACTGGCTCTCAACGTCTGTTTAGCACAACTCCATGAGCGACTCTGACTCACGCTGCTACCTGGGGCTTCACGAGGTGTTTGTCGCGCTGGAAACAAAGCGTCTCTGTAAGTTTGTATCCCTGGTGATGGTTTGGCCTGGAGAGCAGTATATAAGTGGTGCTTTTCAGGCACAATCTTCCTCAGCCTACTCAAGCTCAACTGATGAGGGGTGAATTCCCCGAAACACTGTGTATTGAGCAGGGAGTGGTGCTTTCTTTCAGGTTTGCCGAGCGGAAGGTGCGACGTGCTCCTGGTGTGCTCCGGATGGCAGTCGTGAGTCAGTCAAGTGTCAAGTTCGGCAAGAAGCGTGTGCTCCTCGTTGGAGCAACCAACTTCATCACATGCTTTACTGGTCAAAATGTTTGATTGGGGTTTCCAGTTTTTGGAATGGGCTTTTGTTTTTTTCCGCCCTCCCGCGTACCTTTTCGCGAAAAAAAGGACGTTAAACAATGAATTAACAAAGGGTGGCCTTACTGAATAAAACAGGAGCTCTACAATGTAACGTACACACTGTACTTTGTACCAGCAGCTTTTGGCAGTTTTGCTTAAACGTTGGCCTGCGACTTCGCAACATGCGTCTCTTGTTGCGAATCTTAGTGGCAGCTGCTAGGTATAGACGTACCACGTTGATGCCATCATGGGAAACGGAAAGAAACCTTGTCTTTCCTATTCACAGAGCCATGCAGTGCTGGCTTGCTTGCACCATGAGTACATCAAATGGAAATGTGTTGGAAGTCTCTGATTCTTCGGAGGAAGAGAGTGAGGAAGAGGAGTACGAGACAGAGGAGGATAATAAGGAAGACGAGAACGAGGCAGAGGTGGAGGATGAGCCCGGTGAGGCATGCGCACGACTGCCCAAAACCAAAGGAGCAAGCATATCGAGGGTTAGATCACTTATATTGTACTTTTTCATACCACACAATATACTAAATTTCCAAAATAGCATTCCGTATGCACCCTCAAAGTACTTTGAAGACTGTCGACGTAGGGTTCTGATTTACTGTTATTCACTGCTAGCTCATGATAGCAACTTCAGTTCCACATCATTTTGAAATAGCATCACCATAATTATAATCTACTTTCAAAGTACTAGGTACTTCCAATAGCAGTATTTCGTGCAGTGTGACTTACGTTATGACACTATGCCAAATGAGTGGTTCACATTGCCTTTTCAACTAGCATTACAAGTCCAATCAGTTTAGCATTCTAACGAGCATTATATGACCGAATAACTAGCAATGCTAAAAGCATTTTGAGCTGAAATAACTAGCATTACCCGCCGAGGCCTACTCTCTCTCTCTCTCTCTCTCTCTCTCTCTCTCTCTCTCTCTCTCTCTCTCTCTCTCTCTCTCTCTCTCTCTCTCTCTCTCTCTCTCTCTCTCTCTCTCTCTCTCTCTCTCTCTCTCTCTCTCTCTCTCTCTCTCTCTCTCTCTCTCTCTCTCTCTCTCTCTCTCTCTCTCTTTCGCTCTCTCTCTCTCTCTCTAGACAAAGTTTCGCTTCATAAGAACTGGTATTCACAACTCTATTATATACATTACTGTGTATTCAATACAGGAGAGATTGGAAGCTGTGTACTAGTATTCAATAGAAGCTGCGACGAAGTTGGCCGTTGAACACTCCACCACTCCACCACTCCACCACTCCACCACTCCACCACTCCACCACTCCACCACTCCAACACTCCAACACTCCACCACTCCACCACTCCAACACTCCACCACTCCACCACTCCACACTTGGCTCTTGGCCTACATATACAACACCCTTTGTGAGGAAATTCGTTCTTGGGTAGACGTTGCTTATCCTAGCTCCAGACAGCTCTTTTCCCTCATGGTGAGCTCCTCAGTGGAGGTAGAATGATTCGAAGAAAAATGAATGGTATATTGACTTGGTATAACTATGGCTAAGAAGAACTTCCGTTATTGTGACCAAAATTATATCACCGGTTCCGCCCCTGAGCTGATGTTTGTCCTTTAAAAGAGGTTTATAAACGTCATAACCTATGCAATAGGCAACGACAGTATCCATCAAACTCATTCTGTAACATCGATTTTCCAATTAAAAAACGTGACGCAGGCCATAAATACATGTACCGTACAATTTACACTACACAAAGGTAGTGCGCCTTAACCTGCAATAGTGCTCAAATGCCCGGAATGGGCAGAGCGTAGTACGCAAAAGGTACACAAAAGGAAGTAAAATAGGGCAGTTTCGTCGTTACTCAGAGTTTCAATGTGCACTCACTACATGTCTAATGAGTATTTCGCTCCTGCTCTTGTAGCAGTTGGACACTCTTGTGTGGGGTAGTGCCTTTGCTGTTTGCGTTATGCAGAGCTCACTGACTTGTCAGTTTGAGCACTCTGGCATGGTGCGTTCGGGCCTGGTTTAAATGGGGCTCTGGAAAATATTTTTTCATTGCTATCAGGTTCGGCCTCGTTTTCTCTGTGCTGCGCTGATGAGTAGGCATATGCGGATAATGCCGGCAGAAAAATTGGCAGAATTCGGTACTTTTTCTGGTAAGTTTCATGCATGTTTGGTATGTGGATAAAGAAATGGAGCAGAATTCGAGGAATTGCCCGCCATAAGGTTTGTATGGTTCTGCCAATTTCACTGCTTTTCGAGCAGTATCTGCCACCTTTTCGAGCATTATCCGCACACATCTACTGATGAGTTGTTGTTGTTTCTTTATTTTACTTCACCATATGAACAGGCAAGACTGCCTTCTCACCGGGGCTGTTGGCCCACGGCTCTCACAATATGATGAAAATGTTTAAAATGTGTATGAAGAAGAAAGGAACGGAAAAGAAGATGAAATGAAAGGAAAGAAAACAGTAGGTATTAATTTTATGAAGGGGGGGGGTATGAAATGGGTATTATCATAGTTGATGAGAGAAGTATGATATACAATATTCTTGTTCTATAGACTATTTAGTACGGGCATTTCATGAGAGTCATGCATGGGCAAGGCAGGATTTGGACTAGGATAGAGGACAAGAACATAATTGATGAGCATCTGTTCAGGCAGAATCTGTGAAGAAGACATAGTAGGCACAACATCGGAGAGCTAGTTGACGAGGGAGATGAGGTCATAGCCAGACAGCAATGCTTGAAACGTGTGGCGTACGTCGCAAGCGCGAATATCAGCAGGGAGAGAGTTCCATGTGGTACTGCCAACAAAGGCGATAGAGCTACGGCCTGAGGGACCAGGTAGGAACGGCACTCTGAGCAGCTGGCTGACCTGACCACGCGTGACACAACTTCTGTCCACATCCGTGGCAATGAGGGAGTAGTAGGATTGGAACAGTTCACAAAGGATGAAACAGTTCTATCCACAGATTGAGTGCACACCACAACGTCATATCGCCAAGGTGCTGGCATGCTAGGCACATCATGTTTTTGTATGATACATGTATGATGAAAACATGACGATTGTGATGTTTCGCACTGCACCATGCATTATCCTTTCATAATGCAAAGGTCACTTGGATCTGAAGAGATCCTAGGCCCTCCTTGGTATCCTAGTGGAGTTAGAAAGTTATGTCGCGACACGCAATATTTTAAATACTCCACCCACCTAGTGTATGCCCTGTGCTTGCATTCAGTGGCATACTGTCCGTGGCGCAGCAGCGAAGGCACAAGCTGCTATCCTAGAATGCGAACCAAGCCAGTACTGATATTACGTACACTAGTTATGTACATGTACTTGAGGTCCAGTGCCTATGATCACTTGAACGTGTCGAGAGGGCGTTTAAGGTGACCATGGACACTGGCATGCGCCTGAATCCCAGCGCGTTCCCAACTCTCGGGCGTGGCCTTTGCTGAGCAAGGCAATCGAGCTGCACGCACTCAGGAATTATCATGCCTAATGCCTTATCATCCGTTCAGAGCAGCTTCTCAGGCACGCCATGCAGTTGGTACGCAAGCACCGGATCCGCGGTACTTGTGTGTGTGTGTGGGGGGGGGGGGGGGGGGAGGGGGAATAAAAAGTGAGTTACCACACAAAACAGAGCACGGAACTATAAAATAAACAACTGCGCCAAATTCTCGGGTCGGAGGATAGTTGGAAGACGAAGGAAAGCGATTGGAGCAACCTGTGTAGCAGCCATGAACAAGCTTCTCCTCAGCCTACTGCTTGTGAGCACCGGTCTGATTCTTCTGGGAATCAGCGATACATGCTCTGCTGCCTGGCTCAGCCGAAGTCGGGTTGCACGATCCGACAGCGACAGCAGCGACAGCAGCGACAGCAGCGACAGCAGCGATAGCAGTGATAGTGCATCAGAGCAATCGTCGGACAGCGCTTCCCAGCAGTCCGAGAGTGTGGAAAGCGATGACAGCCAAAGCTCCGAATCCGACTCTGATTCCGCCTCGCAGGAGGAATGTTTCCTGACGCAGACCTGCGCGGTGGACAACAACGTCCTGGCCAGCACACAACCCATGGCCTTCGCCTTGATTAGCAGTCTGTTGGTGGGTAGCGTTACTCCGGCTAGGTTTGCCACTATCGTCGAGTCCACCAGGACTCTTGTGGAGCAAGCAAACGCTGTGGCTGCCGGTGGCCTTGCTAGTAACCAGAATTGCGTTGCGGAATTGAGTGCAATTGACGGATCACCGGTGCGTATCCTATCCCGTGAACTGGGCTTTGAAGTGGAGCTTGTAGCGACAGACGGTCGGCAACTAAACTTGAATCCTGGTCCAATTGAGTTCAGGGATCTGTCCGTAGCATTCGTCTTCAACAATCTCCCCGCTTCGTTCGGCACACTGCAGCTGGACTTTAACATTGATGCAGATGGCAATGCTGTTGATCCACCGGTGCCGCGTTTCCGCACAGCTGAGGGCGAAGTGTTCGACCTGACTCTGTCGCGTGAGGTAAGTCCCAAATGTCACACTATAAGACTAGTCCAAGCTGTGTTGGTAAACCCTTCAGTGGAAAAGTGCTCAATGCCCGAGTTACAGCTAATTCAGCTTAGTTCCACTGCTAACTTGTGTCAGACGATGCGTCCTGTGAGACAGGTCCAGCAGAACAAAAGTGCTCACTCGGAAACGTTCCTGGCAGCTTGCTATTCCGCAGATTTATTTTATTTAGACAACATAGCTAACCATGGCAGAATAGATTACACAGAGAGGGCTAGGGAGGACAGACAGAAAAGAAAGAGAAAGAACAAAAAAACTGCATTTTAGAGACTTTTACAGCAGTGAAGCAGTTGCTTGTGTCCATGAGGGAGAATCTGGTTGATATACGCATTGAGAGAAGTGCAAGATTTGATACGAGAAGGCAGATTGGACCATAGCTTGGTAGAAAGACGTAGAGGCACGGGGGTAGGCACGGGCGGATTATGCCGGCAGAAAAATTGGCAGAATTCGGTACTTTTCTGGTAAGTTTCATGCATGTTTGGTACTACAGTCAACTTCGCTAATAACGACTGCGGATATAACGACAATTCGCGAATAACGACAGAATTTCCATGCCCAGAGCAAAGTACCATCCAACTGAAATACATAGAATGAGACTTCGGGTATAACGACACTTCGCGAATAAGGACACTTTTCTGATGCCCCGCCGAGTGTCGTTATAAGCGAAGTTGACTGTAGTATGTGGAGAAAGAAATGGAGCAGAATTCGAGGAATTGCCCGCCATGAGGTTTGTATGGTTCTGCCAATTTCACTGCTTTTCGAGCAGAATCTGTCACCCTTTCGAGCAGAATCCGCCGGTCCCTACGTGGTGACGGGGGTACGGGTAGAACTAATGCATTGCGGGTGATGTTAGACAGATATCCAGGCTACTTGAGTGCAGTCGATCACCACACGGCACAGGTGACTGTGCACTATATACGTACAGTAGTAAACAATAATTGTATCCTTGGCTTTTGGCCGTTACTTTATCGCCATAATAATACTGGGCACCATTGCCCGTTTGGTCTGCGATACAAAATAAAATTTCAACAACAACAACTTACTTTCTTCAAGTACAGTGAGCTTTGCATTATACCGACAACTCGGCAGGGCATCAGAAAAGTGTCCTTATTCGCAAAGTCTCATTATGCCCGAAGCCTCATTATAATGTACATGACTGTATTACAGTTAGATGGGACTTTGCTCTGGGCACGGAAATTCTGTCGGTATTCGCGAATTGTCGTTCTATCCGTAGTCGTTCTTAGCGAAGTCGACTGTACGCGAAACGCACCCACAATGTACTATACTACAGTGGTCCCTCTATAATCCTGCGCCATCTGTGCCACGGAAAATCTGCTGGATTAGGGAGGGTGCTGGATTAACAAATCGGATTTACTGCTGCAATGTGGATGAAGAGGACACTCTGGCCACTGAAAATTGTGCTGGTTTATCGAGGGTGCTGGTCTATAAAGTGCAGGATTAGAGAGGGACGACTGTGTTACTACATATGGTAGGTTTTCTCGTGCCAGTGAGAAAATATAAATTTACGTAAAGTTTCGTGCTTTCAGACAGTACCCCTAAATCCACAGGACCTTTCGTTTGCAGAACCTCCCAAGCCTGGGCCAAGGCCCTATTGTTATCACTTGTGTACATTCATATCATACGTATAGTTCTAGGGGAGACTGACGGACCAAGAGCTGGGTCCTCTGTCTATGCTCATCTGTGTGTGTGTGTGTGCGCGTGTGAGTATGCACCGTAAGTAAGTATGTGTGCGTGTAAGTTTAATAGTTAGTATGTAAGTAATAATAATCTTTATTTCAGGATTACCCAAAGGCTAACGCCTATCTGGGGGATCTTCTATTTGTGCATGTACTAGTAACATAGTTAAGGATGCGAGAGAAAGTGCGCAAATTGAGTGTGAAATGTTGGTTTTAAAAAGGAATAATAAGAAACACAAGGAAAGAAAGTAAGAGAAAAGAAAAGAACAAGCATGTATGATGTAAATCAATGATTGCACATCAAAGGTGTACCAGTGCAAGTGAACAAGATTTAGTGTGTGTGTGTGTGTGTGTGTGTGTGTGTGTGTGTGTGTGTGTGTGTGTGTGTGTGTGTGTGGTGTGTGTGTGTGTGTGTGTGTGTGTGTGTGTGTGTGTGTGTGTGTGTGTGTGTGGTGTATGCGTGTGAGTGTGTGTGTGAGAGAGTAGGGACTTCCATGGCGGAGTGTGTGTGAGAGAGTAGGGACTTCCATGGCGGAGCCTGTGCTTTGGAGGCAGTGACTACAACGCTGACCTCTGGTCTCGGCGCTAGTGCTAGCGTCTGCACCATTGCAGGGAAGGCAGAATGCCTGTGTATCTGGTGAAGTAAAATAGAGCAAACAAACGACCAAACAAACAAACATGGTTTGGTTTTTGAAAGCTTCTTTTCTACGATAACGTACAAGCCTCCGGCAGATTATACTCGTGAAATCATAGAATTATGCAGTTCATGTCGAAATTTATGCTGGCATAATCCACAGGAGCGTATCACGCACCAGTACCTTTAACACCGGTTTGTCTTTATCCATGCAGGTCTGTACTCTGGGCGAGCCGCTGGTGTGTGGAATCCCCATGCCAACACCTCCAGCAGTTGGCGTTCCAGTGCTTCCTGAAGCAGCTGCCATTGACGTGGGTCTGGCTGCACTGAGTATTACGGCCGACCAGTGTCCACCATAGGAGCAGGCAATCCGGCGTCCAGACAGACCGCTGTCAAGACACCAGTGTAATCAAGAATCTTCCATAGCGCTTTAGATCAATTTTCAACAGGCTTGTAAAGATGATTGCAACAATTACATGAACTCACATGATGCACGCACACACGCACACACACGCACACACACGCGCGCATGCACCCACCCACACACACACACACACACACACACACACACACACACACACACACACACACACACACGTAGTCTGCGGCAATATGTTAGTATTTTAGTTTGCTGTTTTTTTTTTTTTTTTTTTTTTTTTTTTTTTTTTTTTACTGAATACCACCACAGTACCATCAGATGCTGCACAGCGGGGGCGGTGGCATATTGGATGGAAGTGGGGGCGGGGCTAAAGTAACTCCTCCGACCAAAGGTCTCGGAATCATTGTTACTCCTGTGCGCCGATACATAGGAGAAATGAAACATGTGCATCCAAGAGGGGAGCATCGGCTTAAGGTGGCAGACTACCCAAAAATTCGCTGAAAATCGAATTTGTAAATTCATATTGAGTGCTACGTCAGTTGAAAGAGCATGAATAGCTGCAAATTCTCTGAAAATTGTGTCCCGATCTGACCGGCCGTTGAAGAGTTATGGCCGAAAATGTGCCCTTGCAAGGAAAGATTTTTTTGTTGCACGCTGTCATTTGTTGGCAGCACTGTATTTGAATGTGAGCAGACCGTGCGCAACTTGTCGTATCATGGAAACACGTGAAAGTGTGCAGAATTTTGCTCCAAGTCCAAAAAATCAGGTTTTTGAGCCACGTATTGGGCTGCACGGCGGCGGGCGAAGCCCGCCGCCGTGCAGCAGGACTTTTGCCAGCACCCTCGTGACGTTGCAGATATGTGGCTTGATTATTGTAGTTGACGTTGATTTAGTGACTTTGGCAAGTTTGAGTCGTGTCAAGAAGTCAGGTAGGATTCAGTACTAGGCAGTCGTGAAACGTGAGTGGAAGTCTTTGCCGGTTTCTGAGGGTATCCTGGATTTGGTGTGCAGCGCTGTGGAAATGGCTTGCTGTGGAGGTCTCAGCACTGGATGTTGTATCAAAGGTACGACCTCGTAGCACACCCTAAACCTAAAAAAATTCAAAAATTGACTTGGGTCTGTGGGAGTGTGTGAGAGAACGCCCACTCGCTCCGTTGTGACAGATTCCAGGGCCTCGTTGAGGGGCCCTACCCCATCACCCATGGCTGCTTCTGGACTTGTACTAGGTTTGAGTCCCGCTCACGAACAGAATGAGCACGAAAATGTGAAAAATTGTAAATGCATTTGTTTGGCTCCTGGGTGGCTCGCACACCGTGGCACTATGCCGGAAATTTGAGTTTTTCCGGCCTGGAAAGCCTGTCAGTGAGGCGCAAGAACTTGTAAATCATGTCCTGAGGGCCAGCATAGTGGCAGGAGTGTGTGGTCAAAATTTCACTCAAATCCATTGAGAAACACCAAAGTTACGGTCAATTGAATGCCATATGAAATTTATGGGTAGGCTGCCCCCTTAAGGTGGCAGACTACCCAAAAATTCGCTGAAAATCGAATTTGTAAATTCATATTGAGTGCTACGTCAGTTGAAAGAGCATTAATAGCTGCAAATTCTCTGAAAATTGTGTCCCGATCTGACCGGCCGTTGAAGAGTTATGGCCGAAAATGTGCCCTTGCAAGGAAAGATTTTTTTGTTGCACGCTGTCATTTGTTGGCAGCACTGTATTTGAATGTGAGCAGACCGTGCGCAACTTGTCGTATCATGGAAACACGTGAAAGTGTGCAGAATTTTGCTCCAAGTCCAAAAAATCAGGTTTTTGAGCCACGTATTGGGCTGCACGGCGGCGGGCGAAGCCCGCCGCCGTGCAGCAGGACTTTTGCCAGCACCCTCGTGACGTTGCAGATATGTGGCTTGATTATTGTAGTTGACGTTGATTTAGTGACTTTGGCGAGTTTGAGTCGTGTCAAGAAGTCAGGTAGTACTAGGCAGTAGTGAAACGTGAGTGGTAGTCTTTGCCGGTTTCTGAGGGTATCCTGGATTTGGTGTGCAGCGCTGTGGAAATGGCTTGCTGTGGAGGTCTCAGCACTGGATGTTGTATCAAAGGTACGACCTCGTAGCACACCCTAAACCTAAAAAAATTCAAAAATTGACTTGGGTCTGTGGGAGTGTGTGAGAGAACGCCCACTCGCTCCGTTGTGACAGATTCCAGGGCCTCGTTGAGGGGCCCTACCCCATCACCCATGGCTGCTTCTGGACTTGTACTAGGTTTGAGTCCCGCTCACGAACAGAATGAGCACGAAAATGTGAAAAATTGTAAATGCATTTGTTTGGCTCCTGGGTGGCTCGCACACCGTGGCACTATGCCGGAAATTTGAGTTTTTCCGGCCTGGAAAGCCTGTCAGTGAGGCGCAAGAACTTGTAAATCATGTCCTGAGGGCCAGCATAGTGGCAGGAGTGTGTGGTCAAAATTTCACTCAAATCCATTGAGAAACACCAAAGTTACGGTCAATTGAATGCCATATGAAATTTATGGGTAGGCTGCCCCCTTAAGGTGGCAGACTACCCAAAAATTCGCTGAAAATCGAATTTGTAAATTCATATTGAGTGCTACGTCAGTTGAAAGAGCATTAATAGCTGCAAATTCTCTGAAAATTGTGTCCCGATCTGACCGGCCGTTGAAGAGTTATGGCCGAAAATGTGCCCTTGCAAGGAAAGATTTTTTTGTTGCACGCTGTCATTTGTTGGCAGCACTGTATTTGAATGTGAGCAGACCGTGCGCAACTTGTCGTATCATGGAAACACGTGAAAGTGTGCAGAATTTTGCTCCAAGTCCAAAAAATCAGGTTTTTGAGCCACGTATTGGGCTGCACGGCGGCGGGCGAAGCCCGCCGCCGTGCAGCAGGACTTTTGCCAGCACCCTCGTGACGTTGCAGATATGTGGCTTGATTATTGTAGTTGACGTTGATTTAGTGACTTTGGCGAGTTTGAGTCGTGTCAAGAAGTCAGGTAGTACTAGGCAGTAGTGAAACGTGAGTGGTAGTCTTTGCCGGTTTCTGAGGGTATCCTGGATTTGGTGTGCAGCGCTGTGGAAATGGCTTGCTGTGGAGGTCTCAGCACTGGATGTTGTATCAAAGGTACGACCTCGTAGCACACCCTAAACCTAAAAAAATTCAAAAATTGACTTGGGTCTGTGGGAGTGTGTGAGAGAACGCCCACTCGCTCCGTTGTGACAGATTCCAGGGCCTCGTTGAGGGGCCCTACCCCATCACCCATGGCTGCTTCTGGACTTGTACTAGGTTTGAGTCCCGCTCACGAACAGAATGAGCACGAAAATGTGAAAAATTGTAAATGCATTTGTTTGGCTCCTGGGTGGCTCGCACACCGTGGCACTATGCCGGAAATTTGAGTTTTTCCGGCCTGGAAAGCCTGTCAGTGAGGCGCAAGAACTTGTAAATCATGTCCTGAGGGCCAGCATAGTGGCAGGAGTGTGTGGTCAAAATTTCACTCAAATCCATTGAGAAACACCAAAGTTACGGTCAATTGAATGCCATATGAAATTTATGGGTAGGCTGCCCCCTTAAGGTGGCAGACTACCCAAAAATTCGCTGAAAATCGAATTTGTAAATTCATATTGAGTGCTACGTCAGTTGAAAGAGCATTAATAGCTGCAAATTCTCTGAAAATTGTGTCCCGATCTGACCGGCCGTTGAAGAGTTATGGCCGAAAATGTGCCCTTGCAAGGAAAGATTTTTTTGTTGCACGCTGTCATTTGTTGGCAGCACTGTATTTGAATGTGAGCAGACCGTGCGCAACTTGTCGTATCATGGAAACACGTGAAAGTGTGCAGAATTTTGCTCCAAGTCCAAAAAATCAGGTTTTTGAGCCACGTATTGGGCTGCACGGCGGCGGGCGAAGCCCGCCGCCGTGCAGCAGGACTTTTGCCAGCACCCTCGTGACGTTGCAGATATGTGGCTTGATTATTGTAGTTGACGTTGATTTAGTGACTTTGGCGAGTTTGAGTCGTGTCAAGAAGTCAGGTAGTACTAGGCAGTAGTGAAACGTGAGTGGTAGTCTTTGCCGGTTTCTGAGGGTATCCTGGATTTGGTGTGCAGCGCTGTGGAAATGGCTTGCTGTGGAGGTCTCAGCACTGGATGTTGTATCAAAGGTACGACCTCGTAGCACACCCTAAACCTAAAAAAATTCAAAAATTGACTTGGGTCTGTGGGAGTGTGTGAGAGAACGCCCACTCGCTCCGTTGTGACAGATTCCAGGGCCTCGTTGAGGGGCCCTACCCCATCACCCATGGCTGCTTCTGGACTTGTACTAGGTTTGAGTCCCGCTCACGAACAGAATGAGCACGAAAATGTGAAAAATTGTAAATGCATTTGTTTGGCTCCTGGGTGGCTCGCACACCGTGGCACTATGCCGGAAATTTGAGTTTTTCCGGCCTGGAAAGCCTGTCAGTGAGGCGCAAGAACTTGTAAATCATGTCCTGAGGGCCAGCATAGTGGCAGGAGTGTGTGGTCAAAATTTCACTCAAATCCATTGAGAAACACCAAAGTTACGGTCAATTGAATGCCATATGAAATTTATGGGTAGGCTGCCCCCTTAAGGTGGCAGACTACCCAAAAATTCGCTGAAAATCGAATTTGTAAATTCATATTGAGTGCTACGTCAGTTGAAAGAGCATTAATAGCTGCAAATTCTCTGAAAATTGTGTCCCGATCTGACCGGCCGTTGAAGAGTTATGGCCGAAAATGTGCCCTTGCAAGGAAAGATTTTTTTGTTGCACGCTGTCATTTGTTGGCAGCACTGTATTTGAATGTGAGCAGACCGTGCGCAACTTGTCGTATCATGGAAACACGTGAAAGTGTGCAGAATTTTGCTCCAAGTCCAAAAAATCAGGTTTTTGAGCCACGTATTGGGCTGCACGGCGGCGGGCGAAGCCCGCCGCCGTGCAGCAGGACTTTTGCCAGCACCCTCGTGACGTTGCAGATATGTGGCTTGATTATTGTAGTTGACGTTGATTTAGTGACTTTGGCGAGTTTGAGTCGTGTCAAGAAGTCAGGTAGTACTAGGCAGTAGTGAAACGTGAGTGGTAGTCTTTGCCGGTTTCTGAGGGTATCCTGGATTTGGTGTGCAGCGCTGTGGAAATGGCTTGCTGTGGAGGTCTCAGCACTGGATGTTGTATCAAAGGTACGACCTCGTAGCACACCCTAAACCTAAAAAAATTCAAAAATTGACTTGGGTCTGTGGGAGTGTGTGAGAGAACGCCCACTCGCTCCGTTGTGACAGATTCC